ATATATGCTTTAATTATTGCTTTTGCTTCAAATTTGATGTTCGATTTCTGAACAAATTGTTCTTTGAGCCTGTTCATAGGAAGTAACCGAACTGAATTGAACTTTAGTTCCAGGCTGATGACGCAAGACGCACAGCCAAAGTTTGATGACTGTCGAAGTGTTGAAAGTTTGCCGAGGATTACCGTTGATGCTCATAAAGGAGTTGACGATACTTTGCAAGCCTGAGGCACATACTGGAAATATTTTTATTTAGCTTACTAATGTTATTAAATAACATTTTATTAAAACCTGCAAAATCCTTTCTGTAGAGAGATGTAAATTAATACTATAGTTTATTGTATATGCAGATTATATTTTAAGTTGTTACACAAAATCAAGCAGTTTATAAGGTTTATCTCTCTATATACTTTAGGCATGTAGAACATATCTGCATTTCTGCATCAATAGATGTAATGTGTGCTGTAGGTGCGAAAATTTTAGTAATCTTAACCAAGATGTAGATGATCTTATACCCGGTGACTAATATTTGAACTGCCTTCTCTCAACCTGCTCAAAATTTGAAACTCACAATGAGCTCACATACTACTCACACTGTGAGGATCAGAGTACGAGGATCGTTTGAACTCACAATGATTTCATATACTACTCACACCGTGAGGATCACAATATGAGGATAGTTTGAACTCACAATGATTTCATATACTACTCACGGTGAGGATCACAGTATGAGGATCATGTGATGTCACTGTGATCATCGCATGATCTCACGTGTTGACTGGGTTCATTAACCAACTGTCTCTAACAGAGAAAGAAGGTTTTAAGCATATGTGCTGAAAACCAACATTACATTAAGCAACTGTCTCTAACTGAGAAAGAATGTTTTCAGCATATGTGGACATGTTTCAGGATATGTTTCAGCATTCTGTTCATTTGCTTAGTTGCAAAAACATAGTGTGAATCTGTTCACAGTAGCACTAAACTAAGCTTATTGTGATTAGAAGCTCTAACATGTTCATGAGCATGAAATTCCTAACACATTAAAATCTGCCTTTCTGCATTGCAAATAACATGTAATTTCACATGTTAGAAAGATCATCAATGTGGGCAAGCTTTATTCCTAACACTGCATAAACCAACTTTCTCTAAGAGAGAAAGAAGGTTTTCAGCATATCTGGGCTTGCATTCTGTTCATTTGCTTAGTTGCACAAACATAGTGTTACTGTTCACAGAAGCACTAAACTAACCTTATTGTGCTTAAAAGCTCTAACATGTTCATGAGCATAAAATTCCTAAAACATTAAAATCTGTCTTTCTCCATTGCAAATAACATGTAATTTCACATGTTAGAAAGATCTTTCATGTGGGCAAGCTTTGTGGGGCTTGCATTCTGTTCATTTGCTTAGTTGCACTAACATATTCTTACTGTTCACAGAAACACTAAACTAAGCTTATCGTGCTTAGAAGGTCGAACATGTTCATAAGCATAAAATTCCTAACACGTTAAAATCTGTCTTTCTGCAAGGCAAATAACCTTTCATTTCACATATTAGAAACATCTTTCCTGTGGGCAAGCTGTAGTCTTAACTTTGCATTAGCCAACTGTCTCTAACAGAGAAAGAAGGTTTTCAGCATATGTGGGCTTGCATTCTGTTCATTTGCTTAGTTGCACTAACATAGTGTTACCGTTCTAAGAAAAAAACTTAACTAAGCTTAGAAGCTCTAACATGTTCATGAACATATAAAAATCATGCAGGGTCAGTGAAGTGTCTCAGCAATTCCTGTCCCATCTAGTTTATAGTCTCAAGAGACTCTAATAAAAACAGTGCTTAAACCCTAAACTCACCAGGGGAGGAGAAACTCCCCCTGTCTGAAAACCCCTCAAGGATCAGAGGTGCAGTGCAACGTGACTGACTTCAGCATAAATAACTATCTAAGAGACAACAGAACAAAGAACCTGGTATCTGGAAAAGTTCCAGCACAAGACACTCCTGGACCCCATGACCGTTTGACACGTAAATTGCTAAATCCGATAAACAGAAAGTGACAGATTAAGAACTCTCTGTCCAGGAGAAAAATGGCAGACTCCCAACTCGTGACATGGGCATGACCTCAGGATAATAATAATTAATTCCCTAAGAAAAGTAATCTGACATTAGATGTGGTGGAGCATAGAAAGCTGGCAAGATTTGAATTAAAAATTAATGACACCATAATATTATTGTGAATCTTTCCTATTTTTATCCGGAAAAATAGATTAGATATAGAGAAACAGAGTCGTTGTGT